GACAGGCTGACACACTGGTAGGGCCAAGGCTGCAGCCCAGGCTTGGGAACCCACAGAGCCAGGCTACGTACTGCCAGTCTTGCTCAGCCTGAGGTACAAGAGTACAGTGTCCCAGCAAGGATTTTGGAGGTAACTTGGACCTCTGACTGAAAGTTCCCACTTGTGGGGCACTTGTTACTGGGCAGTTTGTCCCTGGGCAGTTCAGTGACTTGAAAGGAGTTTCTTTGCTTGTCTTCTTTTGTAGTGTCAGGGATGGAAACCAGGACCTTGTGCGTGCTTGTAAAATGCTGCCCTGCTTGGCCACATCCCCAGTCCCGCACTGGGGGATTCTAGGCAGGTGCTCTACCACTGAGCCACAACCCAGCCCCTCACTGGGGGATTCTAGGCAGGGGCTCTACCACTGAGCCACACCCCAGCCCCTCACTGGGGGATTCTAGGCAGGGGCTCTACCACTGAGCCACACCCCAGCCCCTCACTGGGGGATTCTAGGCAGGGGCTCTACCTCCAAACTGTGCTTTCAGTCCTAGTTTTACTATTTATCTTGAGACAGGGTTTCCTTAAGTTGTCCAGGCTGAACTTGAGTTCACTCATTAACCCAGGCAGGCCTTAAATTTTTTAATCTTTCTGCCTCAGCCTCCCAAGTGTTGAGACAACAGCAGGTATATCATCATAACTAGTATGAACATTACAGATGAAAAGCAGGTAGGTAGACAAATAAGAAGGTAATAAATACATAGATCAATAGGTAGTAGATTATAGATAAATAGATGATAGATAGATGATCGATAGATGATAGATAGATAGATAATGAAAGATAGATGATAGATGGATGGATGGGCAGAGGGATAGATATGTGATTGACAGCTTGTCTCTGGCTCTGCTGACCTCTGGTTATAGCATGGAGTCCTGTGATTATTGTGATGTTCAGTGCAAAGGCTGCAGATGGTGGAGGAAGAACGGAGTTCTTGCCCCGTGGGGCAAAGGGACAGAGAGAGGCGAGGCCAGTGCCTGAGGCCTGCACAGTGACAAGGGAAGGAAGGGGACAGGAGGGCCACAGGCAAGTAGGCGCTAAGGGGCGACAGATCTGAAGTATGGGCCGTGGGACAAACTTTACCGTGTACAAGAGCATTATCACACAGCAGTGTGGAGGTTACATTTCCTCTCTGGCTTATTAGCCTGTCTGTCTGTCTGTCTGTCTGTCTGTCTGCAGGTGAAATTTGGAGGCCAGAGGTTGAAGCTGGGAGTCTTTCTCAGTGTCTCCCCATCTTGGTTTCTCCCTAAACCTTCAGTTTCTGCTAAGCTGGCTGGCCAGCAAGCCCTGGGGGTCCATCTGTCTCCATCTACTAGCCCTGGGGTTACAGACTCAAGATGCCATGGCTAGTTTTTTTTTTTTTAAAAAAAAAGTTAGTGCCTGAATTTGTTTATTAGAGAGGTCGGCACATGTGTCAAGGCACGCATGTGGAGGGCAGAGGATACTTTGCAGGAATCGAATCTCTCCTTTTACCTACTGGGTCCCGGGGATCAAACTCAGGTTGTCATCGTGGCAGCAAGCGCCTTTCCCTGCTGGGCCCTCTCCCTGGTTGTGGCATCTGGCTCCTCTTGTGGCCTCTAGGGATCTGAACTTAGGTTCTCATGCTTCCTCATCCTGAGCCACCTGCTCTGCCCTCCTGCCTATTTTTTTTCTCTGCTTTTGAGACAAGGTCTCACAGTGCAGCCCAATCTGCCTTCACACTCATACGTAACCCAGATTGCTTTTAAACTCACTCACAGTGGTCCTCCTGCCCCAGGCTCCTGAATGCTAGACTACAAGCATACTATGCCATGCCTGGCTCTCTCTGCTCTCCACTCCCCTCTGATGCAGCCGGAGCTCTGGTCTGGGGACGACCAATTACTACTGAGCCATCTTGTCCTCTCCCCCATCTCTGTCACGTTTATACTCACACAAGAGACTCAAAGAATGGTACAACAGGATCTTCTTCAGATCCACTCAGCCAGGAAAGGCCAATCGTGATAGGAACCAGTCAGTTCCAAGCTCTCCCCAACAGGGTGACTATTGGTGCACGTGGGTTTCCCCCAGGACAGTCACGGGAATAAGACAAGGCATCATCCAATACCAAGTGCCCCAAGGAGCATGAAGTACACTGGGGCAGTCGCCACTGTGCAGCTAGTGCCTCGGCTTTCCCAGTCTGGACAGCTCAAGGACGGAGAGGAACAGCCCTGGACGTGAGGTCCAGGCCCTGCTCCCTGGAATTACAGCTAGGGGAGGAGCCCCATTTGTCAGGGATTCAATTAGTTGGAGAGTTGCTGTTAATTTTACAGGCTGTCCTGGTCAGAGAGGCTGCACCGGGCGCTGATCCGGGGCGGCCCTTCCCTCGCAGCTTGGGGTCAGCCTGAGTGGAGGCGGCGATGATGCTGGCCTGGGCATTAATGAGATGCCTCTAGGTGCAAATGCGAGTTTAATAGGTGTTACTTAACGCGGTACGCCTCCCGCACACCCGAACCTGCTGCACAGGCCTCCTGCCTCGTTAGAATAAGTAATTAGAGTGTAGAAACACTGGCCCTGACACTTTAATAAAGTGTCAGCCATCACCGATTTGGTATTTAATAAAATAAAATTAAATATTTATTGTATTTTGGGTCTGCGGCGTACTTAAGACACACTCTACCCCCACGAGTCCCCTACCCACTTCTGAGGAGTCTCCACTTGAAAATGGGATGAATGTGTGGCAGAGGGAGACCCAGAGGCGAGGGACAGAAGGGGAGGGAGACGTGGGGTTTGGTGACGGCTCTGTGAATGGGACCTGCATCTTTGCTGTCTCTCTTCTGCTTTGTGTCCCCTGTGCCACCCCACCAACTTCCTGTGTCACATGCATACTGTCCTCCAGCACCTCTCAGTCAGCAGGCAGTGCTGGCCCAGCTCAGCTGTCCCCAGGCATGCATCTCCAGAATAACACCCCTGGAGACCCCAGTACAGCCCAGCCCCACCTCCACCCACCAATAAGCAGAGATTGCAGGTAGCGGCCTAGGAGCTGGGACTGGCAACGTGTCCCCAGGGGACAGAATCATGAAAAGACCACCAAACTCCATGAGGCCTTGATACTCCTCCACCTGCCGTAGCTACTTCCTCTCCCCTCAAAGTGAAAGCCCTGGTCTTCCCCCTTTCTCTCCTGCCCTCCCAGATCCCCCAGCTCACGGGAGATTTGTCTTTCTGATTACAAAGGTGATATGCAGGAAGCTGGAGAAAAAGACACAGAAGGGGAGAGATGCCGCAGGCAAGGTACCAGGGCAGAGAGAGCATCGCTGAGAGGCAGTCGGTGATGGGGATGCAGGCCTGTCATCCCAGGGCTGGGAGGCTGCGGCAAGAGGGTCACAGTTTAAGAACAGCTTGTGCTACAAACTGAGACCATCTCCCTAGAGGAAACGAGAAGGAACCAGAGGGATGGGGAGGGAAGGGAGCCGTCATGATGTGTACACCCTTGGATGGAGTCCAGAGAAGCCTGGTGAGCAGGGAGATGAGGGCAGAAGGAATGACCGCCACCAGTCACCCTAGGAGTCACTCAGCCTGGAGCTTCGGGCCACAGAAGACAACTCTCTGCACCTAGTTGTGCATGGAACAGGGGTGTGCAGTTGTCTGGACAGGAGCATGTTCACGGTGCAGAGCATCCTCTTGATGTACGACCATTAGAGATCTATACTAGAACATTCTTCCTCTATCAGTCAGAGTGCTCAGAATTGGGAATAAGTCAGATATCACAGGACCGTGATGAAACACCTTTGAGGGGAATACTATACAGCCATGAAAAGGCTTAGCCCCCCCCCACAAGTCCTAAGATCACATGCACCCAGTGAGGTGCAGTGCTGGCCTGTCCAAATATTCTCTGTCCTCTCCTTTATCTCTCTTTCTCCACCACCCCTTTCCCTTTCCTCACTGAACCCCCAGTCTGTACCTGAAAACCCCAGAACTGATGACTTCAAGGACAACCCTTGCAGGTCTCAGGCTCTGGGGTCTTTCGTGGTCTTGACCTTAACAGCATTGGAGCTAGGGCTTCCTGCTCCTTCCCCATCCCTGTCCTCTGGGAATTCGTCCCCTGAGAAGCCAGATCTGCTTGTGAGGATGCCCCTGAGCCCCAGTTGCCAGGCAACTGCCTGGTGTACCCCGGCAACGAAGGTCTTGAGGAGCCTCACCCCGGCAACAGTGTTTCCACTGCATCAGCGCTGCTGGCCCCTAGAGTCACCTCCTGCCCTTGTCCCCAGGGCAGGCTGGACCCTGGTGTCACAACCTCATAGCCAGATGTCCAGGCAGGTACGCAGCAGTGACACCATGAAGAACTCTTTTTCCCAGGCCAGAGGGCCATTGCCACCTGTAGGGGGCCTGTCATCACATCTGAGATGGGGCCAGTCCTACGTGGACCACCATCACCTTCTGTTTCTCTCTGGGGAAAGTGGTTTCCACACAGGCTTCTAGCTGTGTTGTCCAGCCCATCTATGGGGACCCAATGGGACCCCGAAAGCTGTTGAGTGCCCCATGGTCCTGTCCCCAGTCCAGGGACTTGGTATCAACAGCTGTGGAAGCCCATACTGGAAAACCCATCCAAACTGCGAGACAGCATCACGTGGAAACCGTGGAAACCGGCTGCAGAGAGCAATTAACACTTCATTAATAATCGATGAGTTGCCAATTTGCACATCGCCCAGGAACAAATGGCAGATCGGGTTCGGCTGTGACACGAGGGCTCTGGAGCCAGCAGCCAGGGGGCAGCCGGAGTTCCAGAAGTGATGGGGAGGGGGGCTGGCTGGGGCAGGATACATAGGCATCTATGTGGCGGGGAAGAGAAAGGCTCCCACTTGTGCGGGGCCGGTGTGGGTGGAGACCCTGCCTCACACACTGCAGCATTAGGTGGAGACAGAAACCTTTCCACGGGAACAGCTGCGAACTGTACCAGGGGCCAGGTAATACCGCTGATCATGGAGACCTGGGCCTAGGAGACAAGAACCACCCTTTCTTTCCCGGGGCAGTTATGGGCTAAGTCATCCTTTATGACGGGCCAACTGTGTCCACAGTTCCTCTGCACATCCGGTGGGTTTCCCCACTTGCAAGGCAAGGGCGTCAGGTGCAGAGTAGGAAGCTGGGCTTGATCTTGGATCTCCCAGCTCTGCCCTATCCCCTACACCCTGTATTCCCACCCTCACCCAGCTACAGAGCCTCTGCAGCCGCAACCTCGGCAGTCACGGAGGGCTCTTGTCTACCAGCAGGAACTCAAGTCTACCAGCTGCTTAGGCCTCCTTAGCCCTACAGACCACAGCTCTGCCCTGCTTCCTCCCGTGTGCCCTAATAGCTCAGCTCGAGCCAGCACGTGCTCAGGAAGGCATCCTGGAACCGAACATCCTGCAGGAGAGATAGAAGGACAGGAATGCCCCGGGAAGACGTCAAGAACAGTCATGGCCACCCGGGTGTACTGCCCCAAGGCTGAGGCCCCGGTGAGCGTGATCAGAGAGGCTCCCAGGGTGTAAGGGATCTGGGAAAGCCAACCTGGAGGGACTGTCAGCAACCACATCAACACGTGCAAAGGCCCTGGGGTACAACGTGCAACCGGGCGAGGAGCCCACTGGCGGGTGGATCAGAGAGCAAGCAGGTGAGCCGAGAAATCACAGGAGAGAGGGGCCACCACAAGGGTCTGGATTTTATTTCAAAGTCTTAGACAAGGACTGGGGGGCCCGGCCTGAACTCACTGGCTGTAGAAGGGTCCCCATGTCCCTGGGCGCCGAGGGTGGCACCAGATCAGGGAGGATATGACTGTGGGTGGGACAGGAATGAGTGACAAGCGAGTCCTCAGGGTCTCCAGTGCTGCTGGCAGGTGTAAGGTGACTCCCACTTGGAGCCACACAGGACTTCTCCATTTCCAGCCCGGGGGCCCCTGGTCCCCTCTTGCCTCCCGTCTGCACCCGGCACCCTCGCCGTGAGATTGAATTTACAACGGACGCCAACACATTTAAATCCATTTATTGCAAAATTACTTTTCAATAATTACATCACTGTGCCGACTGTGTTGCATAATGAAATTAGCATGAGAGACATTAGAGACAATATAAAATTATAAGAAATATTGAAATACCGCTTTCCCGTCTGTCTTCACGAGGCCCCGTAGCTTAACTGGAGAGCTGGTGCACCTCATCCATGGGGCTGGAATGCACTGAGGGTAATTACATAATGCCTTCTGTATAAATTAATTATGACTGTTATTGCAGATTTGTGTTATCGGATTGAAATTTCCCTTCACCCGAGCTTATTAGTGGAGAATGGGACCCCAGTAGCCAGCGGTCCTGAGCTCCCAAGGGGCCGCCCACAGTGTAGAGTGAGCGGAGGAGGGACAGAAAAGACCCAGGCTATAGGGTTAGGCAGATCAGAGTTCAACTTCTGTCTCTGCTGTGTGTCTCCAGGAAAGTCACCCAACATCTCTGAGCCCAGATTTTTCTCAAGTCTGATACAGGTGGAAGATCCTTTATCCAAAGCACTGGAGACTGATGGTGTTTCGGATTTTAGAGGATTTTTTTTCTGTTGTTTTGTTTTGATTTGATTTTTGTATTTTTTGGGGGGTAGTTTTTTGTTTTTGGATTCGAGAATGTTTGTACAGACTTTATCTACGGTCAGCATCCTGATCTAAAAGTCCAAAATGCTCTGAAATCCAGAAGTTTTGAGCACTGGAATGAGATTTTAAACATTTCTGATCCAGGGAGTGGGGGTATAAATAGCCGGTTAAATCCATGAAGTGCTTGGCCTGTCAGCATGAGGGTCAGGGTTCAATCCCCAGAACCTGAAGAGACAAACCAGGCATGGTAGTGTGACCATGTGATTCCAATGCTGGGGAGGCAGAGACAGGAGGATACCTGGGGCTCACTGGCTGACCAGCCTGGCTGAATCTGTGAGTTCCAGGCTAGTGATAGACCTTGCCTTAAAGAAAGGAATGGAAGGAAGGAAGGAAGGAAGGAAAGAAAGAAAGAAAGGCTACTGAGTACTGAGGAATGATACCAGAGGTGGTCTCTGGCCTTCGTAGGCAAGCACACGCGTGCACACGCGCACGCACACACACACACATCACACACACATAATTTGTGACTGAGCCATGAGTGATCCCACGGCTCAGTGGCTTCAAGTGGGTTATCATTGGTGGCCAACCGTGAGCTTCTGGGCTGATAAATTTAGAGGCTTGGGAAGTACTGGGGTCTGAGGATTCTCAAGGCTGTGTACTGGGGATACATGTCCCCGAGCTAGGCAGACGGGCACAAGGCACTCAGAACAGTGCCATGCCAGCTGGCCAGCGAGACCTAGACAGAAGGTTCTACAGACCTAGCACCCACAAGCCTCTCTCTGGGATCACCCCAGAGATGTTCCAAGACCTAGCTGGGTCCTGGAGGTGTCAAGATTGTCTAGTCCTGTTCCTCCAACCTGCCAAGAACCCTGGTCACTTGTGGCTGACAGAGTGGGACAATCCTGGTGACTTCCCAGAGATGATATTTCAGCGGAGGTAATCAGCGGCAGGTGTGGCCACCAAAGAGCCCAATTTATGGAGCGTAGAACAGTGAGGAGCTCTTAAAGACAAGAGCAGCTGGTTTCTAGGCCTGCCTTGCATGTCATAGCCCCACTCTCCCATATACAGTCTCTATGGGTCAGGGGCCAGGCAAGGCTCAGCCGGGTTCTCTGTTTGGAGGAAGCAACACTTTACGGGCCAGTCACAACAGCACTCAGCAAGAGAAGGAGCTGCCTCCAAGCTGCTGTAGCTGGGACCAGGTGCCTGTCCTTGCAGTTGTACAAGAGGGCTGGGGACCTTCTTGGGCTCTCCTAAGACAAGGAAGCAACGATGCCAGCCAGTACATGTCTAGTGGCACAAGTCTCTTAAAACACCAATGGACCCGGCAGTCACACAACACAGTGGTCCCACATCCTGTGGTTTAGGGGTGAGGCAGGCATTCTGCCCATACCTGAGAGGGGGGCATCCTGTATGATGTGAGCTCTGGGAAGCTGGATCCTGGGAGTCCTGGAGATCTGTCTGCTACAGAGGGTTGGCCCACAATCACACAGCACAGCCAGGTTTGCAAGTCTCCAGCTGTGTTTTCTGCCCCTTGGTCAGGGGAGAGGTGAGACACACACTCAAGGGCTGGACAGTAAGATGTGATGGGCGGTGGGCACAGGGAGGAGCCGGGGTGTGTGTGTACCACACTCCTCATGGGCTTACCACAGTCTTCTGGACAGCTAGGATGGCCGGGGGGAGGGGTGGAACAGAGGCCTCATCCATGCTCAAAGTTCAGGAGGACAGACCAGGAAGAAGACAGCATGCCATCACAGGACCTGTAATAGGTGTGCGCCGTGTTTTCTTGCCACACAGGGCAATCTAGAGTGTCTCGTTAATTTGTTAATGAAGGTGGAGGCAGAAGTTGCATAGATGGGCCCCCAACCGTGTGTGTACTTTCATGGCTCTCCCAGCGCCATAGCCAACCACACTTGAAGGAAGTTCACAAATTAAATGGTGTACCTGGTTGATACTGCATGCAGGAGCCTGGGACAGAGCCTCCCCACCAGGTTGTTGCTGACTGAGGTGTTGGATAAAATTCTGAAGATGCCATTTTCAGGGGCTGGAGAGTGAGCTCAATGGTTAAGAATCATACTGCTCTTCCAGAGGGCTCGAGTTTGATTCTCAGCGCCTATGTTGGGCACACCCACACACCAACACACACAATTAAAAACTGGAATTATCCAGGCATGGTGGCTCAGCCCTTTGATCCCAGCACTCTGGAGGCAGAGGCTGGCAGATCTCTGTGAGTTTGAGGCCTGCCTGGTCTACAGAGTGAGTTCCGAGACAGCCAAGGCTATGTAGAGGGGCCCTGTTTCAAAAATAATAAATAACCAGTAAAGTAAATAACCAATTAAAAAACTGGAAATAATCTTAATTTCTTTTTTTTCTCTTTTATTTATTATTTATTAAAAATTTCCACCTCCTCCCCACCTCCCTTTTCCCTCCCCTTTCCCTTCCCCTTCCCCCTCCCTCTCCAGTCCTAAGACCAGGAATCTTAATTTCTTAATCCATTTCCAGGTAGCACTTCAAGAATCCTATAAGTAGGTCCAGGGTTCCACCCAGCTGAGGACAACACCAGTGGACTGGGGAAGAAGGGACCTGCATGGTGGTACAGACAGGAAAGCATTGCCCACAGGCCAGCCAGGTACCAAATGGGCAAACCCAATGCGCCCTACCTGGTCCCACTCATCTTTTCCCCCATCTGGCCTCCATGCTGGGTCCCGGGTGGGATTCTTCTGGGAGAGGGGGTGGGAATGACCCCAGGGGATCCAGCAACTCAGAACTGTGACTAGGGGAATCTGTCTTTACCTGAGTCCATGCTGGCCAACCCGAAAAGTGCGTCCAGAGCCCGGCCACCGCAGCAGCAGATTCCTGGACCCAAAGCTAGCCTCTGACCTCCAAACCTGGAAGCCAGGGCCGCAGCATTCATTTTCAACGTACTTGTTAAACAATAAACATGGCCCCAACCTTTCAAGACTTTCAAATTAAAAGCATGGCTCAGTGGTAGAGCATCTGCCTAGAATCCCCCAGTGAGGGGCTGGGGTGGGGCTCAGTGGTAGAGCCCCTGCCTAGAATCCCCCAGTGAGGGGTTGGGGTGTGGCTCAGTGGTAGAGCACCTGCCTAGAATCCCCCAGTGAGGGGTTGGGGTGTGGCTCAGTGGTAGAGCACCTGCCTAGAATCCCCCAGTGAGGAGCTGGGGTGTGGCTCAGTGGTAGAGCCCCTGCCTAGAATCCCCCAGTGAGGAGCTGGGGTGTGGCTCAGTGGTAGAGCCCCTCCCTAGGATTCCCAGTGAGGGGTAGAGATATGGCTCATCCATTGGTGGGTTCCAGTTCCAGTACTGAATAAAGAAGAACAGTTGCCTTGACGGTGACTCGAACTTGTGTCCTCTGGAAGAGCATCATGCACTCTTCACTACTCCTATAAAACAGCACTTGGAAGGCTGAGGCAGGGGGATTGTTGTGATTAGAGACTAACCTGGGCTACCCAGTGAGACCTGGTCTCATATAATTCATAAAGCAGAATCACAATCCGCATCTGCTTCTGTACTAGCCTGTGAGGCCCAGGATATGTTGTCATACATCAGGTCTGACCTTCATTCCAATGACCTTGGGAGACCCAGATCCCATCTTCCCACTTGCCACCTTGAGGGTAGACCACAGCAAGCTGCACCATTCTGGTTTCTAGCCAATCCAGCCCCTATTGGCGATGGTGGAAGCAGTTGCCGAGGTCAGGCTGACAGATCCTGGCTCACTCTCCAACCCCTGAGGTCCAGCCCAGGAGTCCACCTCCTCCATGAAGGCTTCCCAGCCTCAGTTCCCAGACGAGAGTAGCCAGCTTACCACCCTGACTGAACTGGTCTCTTGTGTGTCTATCACCTCAGGTGTCTGATTGAAGAAGGGGTAGCAACCGGAGGTCTCCCCTGAAAGCTCCTGAGAACCTGCTAATCTCTGGGCCTGAGTTTCATGATGTAGCCCAGGTTGGCCCAAAACTTAATCCTCCTGCTCAAGCTAGCCCTATGTTCAGGGACCTGTGCCAATGCCTGTGCTAGGAGTCATGAGTCACCTTCTTCTTCCATACCCAGCCTCGGTTTCCCCAGATGTTCAACAAACCTTCCCAGAGTCCCTCAGGTAGTTTTGGACCTCACCCTCCAGCCTCTGCCACCCGTGGAGTTGACCTTGACTTCGGCTCATTGTAAATCCCAGAGCACAGGGGAGCAGGCCAGGGTAGGGTGCAGCCTGGCACTGGCTCCTGCAGACCCGTCTGTTTGTTTATATAAGCGATTCAATATTTAAGAGCCGGCCAGCCGCAAGCTCTCCACTTCCCCCTTTCTTTGTCTCTGCTCCCTCCGCCTGCCTTGCACCCCCTCTGCCTCACTGGGAGATCCTGCTGGAAAATTCATTAGTGGCCCCGGCCCCCTCCCCTCCCTTCCCCGCCTTCCCAAGCAGCTCAGCGCGTCAGCCTCTCCATCCCCATTATCTAGAGACGCCAATTTCAAAGAGACATCTTAATAGTGATGTCAACGAATTAATTAGATGTGTTAATGAGCTAAAAGCAACCCAAATTAAATTAATGCAGTAATAAGCGCAGACAGCAAAATTAGCTCCAATTTCTCTAAATGGTTCTGAACTGTACACAACACCTCATCTCGCTAGAACATTACCACCCCCAAGCTAATCAAGAACCGGCACAATTAGCTGCTTAATTACAAACAGGCGCGTGCGCAGGCAGGCACACACACACACACACACACACACACACACACGTGTTCATACTCAATAAGATGAGAGGGTGGGGAAGGCTTGGCCTGGGGCGGGGTAGGAAGCTGGCGATGCAGATCCCCTGAAAATACTGCGGTCACTGTCGCCTCCTCCTGCATTTTCACTAACATGCATAGCAGAGAGCAGGGCCTGCAGAGGATGGCCTCGGTCCAAGCCCGGTCCCGCCTGCTCTGGGCCAGGCCCGGCAGGATGAAAGGAGGATGTGGGAGTTGCTGGCTGGCAGCTGGGTGGGGTTGGTCCAGGTGGAGGAGCCGAGAAGGAGGAGGAAAGTACTGGGGAGAGGTGGGGGCGGGGAGCGCTCGCGCGTTGTTTACGCATCAGAATCCGACTTGGAACTAAAAAGCTAATTGTCCGGCCCGGTTGATTTCCCACTGGACAGGGAGAGCTGCTAATAGCTTCGTGAGCGGCTCAGGTATCTGATTAGCTGTAATTGCAGAGCCTGAGACAGAGGGGGAGGGGAAGGGGGAGGAAGGAGGTGAAGGGAGAGAAGAGAGATGAGGGAGGAGTGGGGAGGAGAGGAGGTAGGGGCATAGGAGAGAGTTGGTGGGAGAAGAGGAGGAGGGGGCGAGGAAGAGGAGGGGAGGGAAAAAGTAGGGGTCGGAAGGGGGAGGGCGGGGAGGAAGAAGGGAACAAACATGTCACAGGACCCCCAAGAAGCTAGGGGTGGGGTGGGGGCAGGTATCAGGCAGCAATGAAGAGAACCAGTGACCACAAAGGATATGGGGACAGACCCTAAGTGACCAGGCAGCCCAGTCGCCAGCAATCCTCCCTGAGGCCCCGTTCATCCCCAGGTGCTTCCACTCCCTAGGTTCATCTGGACTTTGGGAACCCAGTCTGTCAGGAGCCAGCCAAAGGTACCCCACCAACAGGACTAAGGGCGACAGGAAGTCTCAGCAGCTACCCCGGGGGGATATGAGTCCAGTAGGGAGTGAGGACCAGGAAGTTCCAAGGATGGAACACCCTCAGGACCCTGCATCTGTCTAGTCCTCCTAAGTCATGGATGAGTCTGTCCCTTTCAGGCGTAAGCTATTGATGCTGGAGAAAAGGGAAGAGGGGGCTGACTTGACCCTCCGGCACAACTCCCAGTGCCCCAGCTTCTGAGATGGAGCCTGGACTAGGGAGGCACAGGCTGTCCAGCACCAATCTATGTCCTCGGAGACCTCCCCACTCTCCCCTGCACCTTTCCTTGTCTTTCCTTCTGCAATTTCTGTTCACGTGAGAGGTCCCACACCTTCTGTTGAGCTTAAGATTCAGTGAACACAGACTGTCTGTTTCTAATTCCAAGCTATAGAAGCAACACGAGCCCCCCCCCCCCCCCGCCGCCATCGCCAAGATCCCACCAGCCAAAGCTGCTGCTGGTGGGCGATCTGCTCCCACTCCTGGGCCTCAAAGTGACCAGCTAGGCAAGGCGGGGAACCTGCATGCTGGGAGAGCCCTATGACACTGTACCAATGATGGGGAACCTGTGAGACTCAAGCAACGTAGGAGAATCCAATGAGAGACTGTGGGGAAGTAGCCTTGCCATGCCCAGCTTAGGTAGGTGGAGATGAGGGACAGGGGCATCACAAGGTGGGAGGCCTAGGGATGACCAGGAGACTGTCACGGGCTATAATGCTCTGAGTCTCCCCAATGCAGTTCAGGCCAGGCACCCTTTACTCTCTTGAGCACTGGAGGGTGGGGTGAGGTACCAGGATCCTGCACGGAAGGCCTTGAGATTCAGGGCCCACTCTATCCTGCGTTCATGCCAGGGCTAGATAGCTGTGAACTCCAGGGGACCTCCAGGGTCACACCTGCCAAATGGAAAAGTCATCAGTCCTGATCTAAGGCCCTCAGATCACTTGGACGAGTCTCGCACAGCATCAACCATGGGTTAGCAGGACCAGTTTGTCTCTGGGTCTGAATGGCTCCATTTCACAGAGGCAAAGAGTGAGGCTGAGACTCCAGGTTAGCAGGACTCCATATGTCCAGCTTAGCACAGGCCTTTCTCATGCTCTCTGAATGTCAGGCTGGGGTGCCCTGGATGTGTCACACAATTTTAGTCTCTAAGAACGGAAAGATTGTTTTGCTCAGGAAAGGGCTCCAGGGAGCTGGGCCCTGGGGACATGCCCTGGATGCTGAAGCTGGGAGTGGGCTCGCAGCCTCTGTCTGTCACTTCTTGCCTCCAGCCCTGACACCCGGGTCCTTGGCTCATGGGAAGAGCCCAGATCCATCATTTATGGGCAGGCTGCGTGAAGTCCATGGGCAGGTCCATGTGCAGGGTCACAGGACCTAGAAAATGGAAGGCCACGCCACAGGGAGCCGTTACCCTGTCAGGCACACACCTGGATATCCCCAGACTCTCATGGCCCACGCCAATTACAAACTCACTTTGCAGTACTTTAATTTGTCTCTGGGGCTTTGGAAGGAAAATCATACGATTATCATTATTATTATTATTTTGGCTGGAAACTCCGGCGGCTATTATATAAATTACATGTAATTGAATACATCGGAGGGAGTTTCCTTTAAACAGGCATCTCTTCTCCTCCCCAACATGTGGGGGCCAACCTCACCTAACAACTCCATCAGCGCTTCTTCTGAGAACACCCCGGCACTGAGAGGAAGACAGAGGCGTGGGGTGGCCCGGTTCACTGCACCCAAGGAAGGGATCAAGAAGCTTTGAGAACAATGCATCATGGGTGTCACTGTCGTGCTGTGTGACATTCCAGTGGGCCGCATAACCTCTCTGAGCTTCCGCTTTCTCATCTGTTATAGCCCCTCCCTCAGATAACCTTGTAAGGTTTCTCAGATTTAAGAATTACAAACTGCTCTGTGCCTACTAGGGACCAGGGGCAAGACGTTAGCTGTGTGGGATCCTTCACACATCAAAGACACTCCAAGGGAGTCCTTGGCTCCAGGATCTAGCCAGGCCAGACATAAAACAGCTGATGGGAATAGCTCAGCAAGTACCAGCAGCTGGCTCTGTGGGCACCCAGGCCTCTCCAGTGGTACCAAGACTGACACCCACCCTCACCCCAACATGAGCGGAGAAGAAACCTGGGATCCGAAAGGGAGACCACATGTCTGAGATCACACACGAAATGGGATGGGAGGAGTGGGCAGCCCACCTATGGCAGGACCTGGGTCAGAAGCTGCAAGAATGAGAGGAC